GAAATTTAAACAGTGTCATATAAATTATAATAACGAAATTTTTTTATAAAATGTATAATTAAAAACTTATATACAATACAACATGTGCATATTTTAATTATAGATTCAATCATCACTTTTTACGATGTGCTTCCCAATCTCCATAAATTCTTTTATATAAAAATAAGTTAGTCTACATTGTGCTTTCAACTAATTAAATATTGCAGTACCTGTTAAAAATTCAATATATATATATATATATATAAGTAATAACCATCAAATTCAGTGTCTGATATATCAATATTGACTAGTAACTACAAATATTTTTACCCTAATGGTAAAATGTGTTACTTCTCCATTATCGAAACTCTAACCTATTACGAATTTTATTGAGTCAAGCCTACGCTTACTGCATAAAATGAGACAAAAAGACTAAAAAATTGAACCGGTTGGGATCACGACTCGTATAGAACCGTGGCCCCAACTAGTATCAGTAGGTTAGAAGTTAGGTTATGTTTTGGGCCTTCCTCCTTCTTGCAAATAGCCCAAGATTCAACAAAGGGGGTGGACTGGGCCGACCCCTAAAGCCCACAAGCCTTTGAACTAATTAGTTGGGCCTTAAGACAACAGCCCATTGGACACCATTTAAGAGCATATAGCTTTATTTTAGGTTTGGAAAATTTTTCAAAGCAACAATATTTTAGTATTTAATAGGATCTCTTGTCAACACTTACAATATTTATTTAAAATGACAATATTTTAATTTGCTATAATAATCCATTTAAATAAGGGCTCATCTCCACTATTCAAGGAAAATTTGATTTTACGATTCGTTAGAAATGGTATTTTAGTATTTAATAGGATTTCTTGTCAACACTTACAATATTTATTTAAAATGACAATATTTTGATTTGCTATAATAATCCATTTAAATAAGGGCCCATCTCCACTATTCAAGGAAAAATTAATTTTACGATCCGTTAGAAATGCTATTTTAATATTAATAGGATTTTTGTCAACACTTACAATATTTATTTAAAATTACAATATTTTGATTTGCTATAATAATCCATTTAAATAAGATCCCATCTCCACTATTCAAGGAAAAATTGATTTTACGATCCGTTAGAAATGCTATTTTAGCTATATAGTCTTTTTCTGTCAAACAAATTACACATAACCTTTTCTCACAACGCCATTTAAGGGGCAATTTAATATATATATATATATATATATATATATATATATATATACGATCATTTTCTTCTATTTAAATTGTGCTTTCCAAATATGGATAAGTTCCACTCTATATATATAAACACACAAAATTTTCACATTTTGATTAGGTCAACACCATAGTGTTGAATTTTGGTACATAATAGGATCATAGAAGAAATTTGCTCGAAGATTAAAAAAAAAAAGTGTAGCCTTCAACATTATTAAAAAAAGATTGATAATGATAATGAAAGGACAAGTGGCCAAACTGATATAAAGATTTTATAAAATTTTGTTGAAGTCTATATTTGAATAGTAGCTCTTATAATAATCATTTATTTTGTTTATTTACTTTAAGCTCTTTGCCTTCATTACCACATCCAATCTTTTAAAAAAATCTTTTTTTCAATTGATGATAAAAGTAATTTATTTAATATTTCTTGAGATGATTAATTTTTATTAGATTTAATTTGACAAGTAACTAAAATTATTAAATAGTGTCGTAAAATTTCCAAAATTACACCAGACGTATGTAATAGATCAAAGATAACAAACATTATACCTAAAAACACTATATATGACAATCGAAACAAATAAAATAGTATAAACTTCACCTCTAAATGTGAGTTTACGATAATCTGCAACCTCCCCCCCCCAAAACCCACCCACCCACATTTCTTGTTAAATCTAACAAGCAATACAAATAGTAAAATTTTCACCTCTTGATCGAGTTAACAATAATCTCCTAATCTAACGAGAGACACTACAACTTAGTTAAATATTTAGAAAGAGACTAAAAATAACATTTACAATTAATTTAGTAAAAAAATAACTTCCACTTAACCTAATCTTTTATTTGCACATATTAAATTGATATGTTTCTTGTATTTTTCTTCATAAAAGAAAAACCCTTGCCTTCTCCCAAAAGCTATTTTTCCACCATCTTCTTTTTTAATTTTAACTTTTTGCTTGAATTCATGTTGACAAAAAAAATAATAATCAAGAAATGTAATATTCCCATACGATAAAATTATTATTCAAATCCAATGTATAAGAAATAAATTGATATTAATCAAGTCTTAATTTATTTTAACCAAAGTCTTAATTCACTTAATTAAAAAAACTCATCTCTAATATGTCATCATCATGAATGTTAGGTAAGAATCATGTTGTCTCTTCTTTAATTATTGTAATACTTCCTATCTTGATAGATAAGTTGATAAGGTGGGACATGATTTTATCTTGAAATTTATGGGCTTAAATAATATTTTAATAATATTAGAATCATAAATTTTCAAACCATGAAATTTATAATTATTTCAAAATATATAAGATAAATTATCTACTAATATATATATAAATATAGTTTGATGGTATAAAATTTTCTTAAGCTAATGTGTACACTTAATTTAAGTTTATGTAACGACGATTTATATATCAGATAATTCTAAGTAAATCTCTTGATAAATATTACACTCATATGGTTGGGGAAAAATAAGTAATATACTTTTTTAATCTTCACAAAAATTATTATTTACAAATTAAAATTCACAAATAATATTTTTTATTCTTACCATCGGTATATATAACTCAAATCAAATTTATATCCTATGAGATTGGAATAAGCTTTGATGTTCATTTTCACACACATGTATATGTGTCAGTGTGGGGATTTTTTATTATTATTTTATATACAACACATACATATATATACATACCCCTTATAAAATGTAATACTCAATATCTCATAATAATTTCTTCTTCTTTTTTCCCCTTTATTTTCTAGAAGGATTCGAAGGTTAAAAAAAAAATGGAGCAAAAATCAAATTTTTTTAGTGATTTACCAGAAGATATAGAGATGGAGATTTTGTCAAGATTGCCTGTGAAATGTCTCTTACAACTCAAGTGTGTCAACAAAAAATGGTATGTTTTAATTGAAAATCCAATTTTTATTCAAAAACACCTTCACAACACAAAAAATCCTACATGTTATTTTGTTCATCATTATTTTCTTGATACAATGAAATCTGGTTTTACTTTATTTAATCATAATGAACAAAACCAATTAATTCCAAAATCCCATTTGTACCAAGATGTTTTAAACACATCTACACATTTGTGGCAAGTTCTTAGTCCATTAAATGGTCTATTTTTGCTTTATAATGATCAAGAAGATGTAGCACTATGGAACCCTTCTACTAAAGAATTTAAGCCTCTACCAATTTCACAACCCCTAAATTGTCCTTTATCTTCCTATAAATTCGATTTCGGGATCGAACGTCCTTTATATAAGTTGTCTTCCTATAAATTTGGTTTCGGAATCGAGCCCTCGAGTGGTGATTATAAAGTCGTTTGGATGAGAGATTACTGGAATGTAGACTCTGAAGACTGGCATTCTCCTACGATTATTTCAGTCTATACGTTGAGTACGAATTCCTGGAGAACTTTTGAGGAATTCAGGGTTTCTAGTCGCAACGTCGCCAAATCAAATGGTAACACATATTTGAATGGATTTTACTATTGGAGGGCATGTCAAAATGATAAAATCTTTGGATTTGATATGAGCAATGACAAATTTTTTGAAATTCAAACACCAAAGTCATTTATATCCAAACAAGGGGACTTATCATTGTTTAATGATTTCATTGCTATGTACATTTATGAGCCAATAATTCTTGGTAGAGAAACAAGTATTGACATATGGATTATGGAGAAAAATGGCTATTGGACTAAAAATATGAGAATTGGCCCTTTTTTAAATATCAAAAGATCAATTGGATATGGAAAAAATGGGGAAATTTTTCTTGAAGTTGTTACATATCAATTGGACATATTTGATCCTTTTTTAAAGAACAATAAGGTTCTTAGCCAACAAAAAAATGGCTACTCTTTGCAAGCTTTTGCTTACAATGAAAGCTTAGTTTCATTGAAAAATATTTCATTCTTGTAATTTAGTTGGTTAATGATATAAATGAAAATGATGGCTATAATTTAAATTCTACTTTTTGGTCCACCACTTATTTATTTTTATTTGTTTATTATTTACTCATACCTTTTATAATTTTATTTATTCAAGAAAGCTACTAGTTACTTATTTATTGAAAAAAAAAACTTTGAATTCTAATATTACAGTCTGTCACTCAAGGCATACACTCTGACTTGATCAATTACAATTTTATAATTGATCAAATTTCATCAAAAATTTACGCAGTACTCTTTTTGAAATAAAATTTATATATTTATAAATTACGAAAAAATTCCAACGAATAAAAAATTCACAATAAAAAACATATTCACTCAAGGCATACACTCTGACTTGATCAATTACAATTTTATAATTGATCAAATTTCATCAAAAATTTACGCAATACTCTTTTTGAAATAAAATTTATATATTATAAATTACGTAAAAATTCCAACGAATAAAAAATTCACAATAAAAAACTTACTTATTTGACTCTTGAAATCCAAAACGTGACATATAAAAAAAATATCATATCTTTCAAAAATATTTATTTTTATAGGTAAGAGTTTAAGAGAGATACGAACAAAACATATATATTTCTTGTATACTATTTTTTTTTCTTCCACTTAAATACTTTTAACATAGAGAAACACATTTTATACCAAAATTTTAACTTTACGAGTTCGAGTTCGAAATTCTACAACTATTAATTTTGCTTTATTGAGTTCAAATTTATTATTTGTACTTGTTAACTTTCTAAAAACACATACGCAAGGTTCGAGACAAAGTTATTAGGTCGATGGAACCTATTAACTCGTTACACTAAATCCGACTCCATCTATAGCTCGAAAAATAAAAAATAAAACTTTTTAACTCACTCAATACTATAACTGCTACTGCTACTACATATATATTTGAAAAAAACATTTGCGCTTCAAAAGCGCAAATGCACATTTGTTTTCTTAGCTTTCCGCCTTCTCGATTATACCTGTATAATTTTACCTGGTCAAGAGCAACATCCGGATCGCGTTGAACGATTTCCATCAGCAGCAGGAAAGCAAGAACCATTTTTTGTGTTTTTTTGTATAATTTGTTATTCAAGGGCAACTCAAGCTCCTTCTCATCCCTCTTAATTTGCCATTCGCCTTTTGCGCCTTCGTTTGAGCTTTCATTTTCGCTTCATCAAAGTACTGTTACCGTAAAACAAGTCTTAATTGGAGACGATACGCAAAATTAACATCTTGTTCAACGACTAGACTACTTAATAATGTGGAATTTATCGCATACACGAATCACATAGCTATTGGAATCCGACGAACAAAGGCATATATCTATGCTTCGCGTCAAGAAAGATACCTCAAGTACGATCTTTTGCTATTTCACTCGATGCACTCAAGCCGGTTCTACTTCATCGATATCACTTCCCGGCTAGGGCTAGAGTGAACTTTTGAGCAACATAGCAAAAGATAACGTCTGTTCGTTCACCTAATTCCAATAGTTCAACGACTATATAATGTGCGAGTAATATAATTACCTGTTGTTTCCTTTTCCTCTCGAGCTCCGCCTGCAGAGCAAAAAAAACAAAAAAAAGAACATTTTTAGTTCATAATATAAGATGTAATGATTGTATATATGATGTAAAGTTCTAATAAAATCATACTCCAAAATTAAGGATATTTCTGCTAATATATTAACTACCAGGGCCTGTTTTAGATGTGCATTTTCTTCTTTTAGCTGATTCAATTCTGCCTCAAGTTCAACAGTATAAGCCTGCAAAAAAAAAAAAAATTGATCTTTAGATAGGCCAATCATGAGCGAAATTAAGTTACGTCACTTGGACTGATCGAAAATGCCACTAGACGTGTGTTGGATCCTCCAAAAATAGTACAATGTCCAAAGATCTGACATGGGTCCAAAAATAAATTGCTGTTTGGCACGTGTTGGATCCTCCAAAAATAGTACATTGTTTGAGGATTCGACACGGGTTCGAAAGTTAGGCTATGTTGCTCAGACTGTTCAAAAATGATGGTAGGTGTGTGTTGGAGCTCTTTGAGGACACGACACGGTTGCAATGACACTTTTGAAGAGTATGAACGCCTTATATTATGGGGAATGAGATTAAATTACCTGTTTCCTTGCTCGTGATCTTGCTGCGGATTCTCTGTTCTTGATCATCCTCCTTTGCCTCCTTTCAACAACTTTCTCTACTGGACCGTCTAGTACACGTTTTCGCCCGCCTCTCATTCCTATTTCCAACCCGTATTGGCCCCCGCTATCGATTTGATTTACGCATAGTGCATCCGACGACACGGGACTTAGTGGCGACCCCATTCCGGCTACGCCTTGCACTACTTGCCCGTAGCCAACCCCGCTACCGTTTCCCATTCTACCACCGTAGACGGGGGTTGACTGTTGTGGGAATCCACTGCCTCTTTTCATGCTCATAGGGTACACAGGTGCCTCGACCACCCCGGTTTGTGGAAGTGGCGGATAACCGGGAATGGAGACACCGACGCCAACACCGCCTGTGACTCCACCGAGGCCGATAACAGGCCGAGCCATGGCGGCCATAGTGGGATTTGCACTGTTTGGATACATCATATATGATTGCTGCTGAGGAGGTGCGGGAGCTGAATTGCCCTGTTCGCGTACGACCCCTGCTTTAACCAAGAAATCTTCGAGCGTCATTTCACCGAACGTAGCCTGTCGTTGAGTGGAACTTCCGTTACCGGTGTTCTGTATGTTGCACCCGTTGTTCTGTTGCTGCTCTTGCTGGGTCTTATGGATTTCTGACCAAACTTCATCCACAGTTTTACTACACAACGGTGCAGGAAGCGTAAGCGATCCCTGTCTTGGCAAGCTTGGCTGCTCGACAATAGCTTTCTCCAACGAAACATTTCCCTGTCCTAACGCAAAACGTGGGGCGCTAGTTGCTTCCCCAGTACTTGCAGCCTGGCAGTGAGGCTGAGCGTGCGCGTGGGCTTGATTTTCTTCAGCAGTCCAAATGCTGTTAAGAAATTCATCCATGTTCATCGACCCAAAATTCTTCCCACTCTCGCAAACAGTGTGTTGGAATTCGTCAAGCGTGAGCGAGTAAATCGACGCTTGTCGACCGAGTGACGGGAATGGGTTGTTCTTGTGCTGGTTTTGGTCTTGTTGCAATGGTGATTGAACCTCACTTTGAGACACCATCTCTGATTCTGGTACTCCCATGTTATTACGATTCGGATCTTTAACTAGCGACCTGAAAAATGCGTATATCAAACAATTGAAATAAAGAAATGATGATACACGTAAAATTGTAATATTACAAACGATGTACATCTATCATGAAAAAAAATAAAAATCAAGCTCAAATAATACAAAGTTATAGGAAGGTAGATTTTAGTACACATAGAATCTAACATCTACCCGCGCCCGCCACGATTTTCACTAAGCGATTCAAAATACTAAGATGTTAAAACATGAAAAAGATAAGAATGCTACATAAATGATAACTTACCCCTACTTGGCTCCGCTCTTGACGTCTACCCTCCAATAACATAATGAGTACTTACGAATACATAGTTGGGTGGATCGAGTTCATCTAAATCCAGTAGCTAAAGCTTAAACTCCGTATATGTACTAACAATTCCATTAACGTTTAAATCCTGAATCCGCCTTTCATATCGTCTTCGTCTATTTCTCCTCCCAAGAAAATTAATAACATAAGAGCCTAGAAGGGACCTTATGGTTCAAAAGATGAAGTGTGAATAAAGCAAAAACAAAATATATATTTACATACTATATTCAATTAATTTTTTTTATTAAAATAAATATACTTAGTGGGTCTAATCAAAGTGGACAACAAAAGAAGAAACATATTCTTTGGCATGTGGGCTTAAAATACCTTAGGAACTTTCCACTTTTGTTTAATAATTTTTTTATTGGACCATAGATCTAAAAAACAACTTTTTTTCTTCAATTGTTTTCACACATTAATTATTAGTACTAATAAACAAGATGTATTTAGTAAGATTATTAAAGTTGCCCAAAAGGAAAGAGTAAAACAAACAAATCGTGTGATCACGAGGTCAGAGGTTCGAGTACAGCATAAGATTGCATACGAATCTTTGTAATCCTACCCTTTCCCTAATCCGAAATACAACATAAGCTTAGTGTACCGAGCTGTAGTTTTTAATGAAAGTAACCGTGACATTATATTATAGTTTATTTACAATCTTGAAACCCTAGCTATAAATATCTTAAATAGAAGAAAAAAGATATCGAATTTCCCCCCAAAATTAAATCCTTTTAATAGCTAAACCTTAAATACTATATGACTAATATATCATAGTGTAAACCCAATCTATCCATTATTAATTTATTATTTGTATATTGCGATCTTAATTGTTCAATTGATTGACTATCTGAACTTTATCTGAACTTTTACTTTGTTTGTCCAATGTGTTACACATCAATCAAATCATATCCCTTAATAGACATCAATACCCCACCCCCACCCCCCAAATACACAGTACAAGACTCAGTGTTGAAGATATTACTTATCGATAAGATCTAGCTTCCCTGGATTGTACTTATTCAGGTTCGAGTTTTTAAATAATTTTTTATTAATTAAAATGGTGCTAGACACACTGTGTGGTAGTGGTATAAATTTACAAAACAAACAAAAATAAATGAAGTGTTACAATCTTCAAATCATTATAAGCTCAATACAAAGCTAATAAGACTAATTTAAGAAAAAAACATCAAGACAAAAAAGGTGCACATTAAAGTACAATAAAAATTAAGAAAATAAAACTTAGGGATACCTTTTTTCTTGATTATTTTTTCAGCTCCACCAAGATTTTGAAGTCTCTCAAGAACATATCATCATAACCACAAACAAAAATAAAATACAAAATTAAAATTAGAAAACTAAATTATTATTCTTTTGTTTTTTTTAAGAAAAAGAAGAACAAAGGACACAACTAAAGATGATAGTACTATGTATTCTCCTTCATTTTGGTCACAATTTTATTTATTTTAAAGACTGGTTTTTTGTTTTTGTCTTTGAATTTTTCAAGGGGGTGGGGTGGGGGTGGGGGGTGGGGGGTTAAGTGGGGTCCATTTTAGAAGATGTAAGCAAAAATAGTGAAAAATTGTACTCCTAGTACATAGAAATAATTTTAGGAAGTCTTATAAAAAAACCAATACTAAAAATAGGAAATTTTGGTCATGCATGGAGAGATTGACACGTATTAGACAGGTGTTATTTTGGTAATCGTTAATTTAGGCTCTTACTTCACCCTACTTCTCCACGTGTCCTTTTAAAAAAATAATAATAATTCTAAAGGGTTAAAAAAAAAATAATGTGTAAAAAATAATACTTTGCATGCTTTCACTTTTCATCTTTTCACTTATAGTGTTACCATAATCTTTTTTTTTTCTTTTATAGAAATTAGTATTTTTGACCAAAATAAATAAATAAATTATGTTGATCATTTTGTTTGAGATCATCTGAAATGGTTTTATTTGAGTTAAATATTCTCTAAAAATAATTATTTTATCTTTATAATGAAGTTTGATTACGTTCTATTATTATTTGTATAATTTAATTGAGTTTGTTGTTGTTATTAGTAGCGATAGATAACGTTAACAACCATTCATAAGAAGATTATATTATATAGTCAGGTGAAAATGTATTTTTATGTATATATTACTTGTAACATTTTTTATTTCTTAACCCAATTTTACTTCTTTATTTTTGCCATTTCTTAATTAAATTTTTTTGATGATTGTTGTAGTTTGTTTGAGAAGTATTTAATTTTGTTTTAATAGTTGTTAAGTAATTAATTGTGTCTGATTAATTTTCTTTTAAAAGTATTTTTGAATGTTAAATTTTGAAAAATCATAATTATTATCATGAAATATTCTACTATTATATTTTATTTTATTATTTATACAAAGAGTTAACTCACTTTTTCTAGCTATAGTTTGTTTATTTTAGAAAAAAGGTGAGGGAGAAATTAGAGGAATTAAGAACTGTAGAAAACAAAGTAAAAATAATTATTCTTTTTATAATTAATGGATTATGTCAAAGAGGAAAAGAAAAAGGACGAGATACGGAAAATAAATAAATTTATGATAAGATATTTTTATATTTAAAAAAAAATAATTATTTGCTTCTACTTTTTGAAAAAAATATTGTTTTTGCCCCTTAAAATTAATCTTTTTTTTTGGTCATGTATTTCAAATCTAGAAAGATCTTGGGTAAAATATTGTTTATTTTATGTAAAGTACAAACAATGTTGTCTAAAAGATCTTACATTATAATTTAAAACTATAAGTTCAAATCTAACTTTTATTGAAAGTTTATTTAGATGATTGTCACATATATATGATAGTTCGTTTGAAAATATTGAACTCAGATAAACTCGTTATATTAAATGACTAAATTTATTCGTAGCTAGATTGTATTCATTCGTTTTATAAGTTATGTTTTAGTTTTATTAGATACATTGTTTTAGAAATGCAAACAGACAAAGAAACATTATAGTATGAAATGAATTGCAAGGTACACATATTTTCCCTACAAAGAATTTGTCTACTATGGAATTTGAGGTAAGTTATTATCGAGTTGAGTGCTTGAATCGATGATTTATTTTTTTTTATATTTTCTTTTCTATGAGTCTATTTACAAACTAAATTAATCATTTAGATTGATCTTTATGTTAGTCTAAGGACATTGTTGTTGCGTATTTGCCATCTCTTGAGAAAATACGTACACCGATGGACAACTCTTCAATGTCGTAATGGTGTGAGAGCGTTATAATTACTAGTTATTACGTAGTATACGTCTCGAAAGATTTAAGGTTCGACGTTGAAATTTTTTAATTTTTAAGTTATAACAGAACGGAGCGATATTCAACAATGTAACAACTTATTAAATCCTTCCAAAAATGTTAAAGCCTTAATTATGAATATTGTTGAAAAATCCTTTAGTATACAAACATACAAATGTGTTATAAATCATTAATTACAATTTACAATCCCTTTTGAGAGGAAAAAAAATTCATAAACATAACAAGGGTATAATTGAGAACAAATTACAAAAAAAATGTAAAAAATAATAACTCAACCGGTTCACCGATTTTTACAAAGGTAACATTCTATGCAAATTACTTTAATGTCCCTTCTTTTGTAATTATGTGAAATCGATGTGCTTCACCATTGGTTAGAGATATCGTATTCAAGCTTTATGAATAAAAAGATCTTTAAAGATCAGTAATTTCCCATAAGCGTACATGATACGAAATCAATCAGTAGTTTCTGTATATATGCTAAATATTATGCTAAATATTGCACCCTAGAAAATCTTGTGCTTTACCATGGAAGGTATGGTGGGATGAATGATATCTTTTCCATGTGATTTCGAATTTGAGTCTGGTGAAAAAAAAAATTTTAATAAAAAGTTTTTTTAAATATTTTTTCTCAAGATATAAATCCATAATATAACAATATTTAACTAACTTTTTTTTTAATGATAAACAAACTTGAGTTAGTATTAAGTCAAGAAACAATTACTATCGTAGCTAGGCAATACTTTCTTTTTAATTTTCGCTCCGAAATTAAAGTCCGACTATTTCAGTTTCCTGCGTAGAGGGCCCATTTGGGAAATGGCTCCCTACCAAATGGCTCAAGTCGAAATCATGTCGAACATAACACTTGATTGATGTGCTTGGTTACGATACAATTTTGCATCGTTACTATCAAGTATAACTTTCGACATAATGGTAAGTGCTTGATACACGCTACCGTTTAAAAGGAAAAAAAATGTTTAAATATCACTATCCTTAATTACAAACAAAAGAATTTGTAATACAAAATATTTCTCTCAAAGTCAAAACTCTTTGACATCAAAATATGAAACTTAACGATCGACAAAAACCAGAGATATGTAGACAACTTAAAACACATCACGACGTGCAAGATGAAACCTTGCGCGTAGCTATAAAAATGGTGAGTTTACGCAGTTAAAAGAGTCTTGAAGATTTTCTCTCCAATTCCATCAATCATTGGAATCAAATGACCAGCACCTGGAATTTCATGATATTGGATCCATGGTAATTGCTGTGAAATGTACCTTTGTAGTGTGACGGGCGAGAGCCTATCCTCATCGCCTTGCCATAAGTGAACGGAACCTTCATTGTTAGGGAACGGGTTCTCAAGATCCATTGGATCGAATTCCCATGTTCCGAATCCAATCATTAAGTCGCGGTGGAGGGATTCATATTCTCCTTGTTGTCTTACCTGTGCCTGAAAGGAGAGTTGAGTAATAGAAACAGTGAGCTCAAACAGCACAAGAAAATCCAAAACTTTAGGAAACGAAACACCAATTAAGTTATCTGTTTTCGATACAAACTTATCGGACAAAGGCATTAAGCCTAGTCAAACAATTGCTTCCCTTGAAAGCACGGTCTACACAACGAGAAGCAAGCGTGAGAACATGACTAGATGCAATGAGCAACTTTGCACATCGATCAAAATTTCTTAGCCTGTGGAGTTTAATCTTACTATTTACAAAAGCGGCATAAGCTCACTGATATCTGCCTCTACAAATGAAGGCTTCAAAATGTTGATGCTTAAAAGCTATGTTATACGCAAAAGGGCGTTTCTCTCGGAATGAAGTGTCAATATCATTCCTCTGCATGACTCTCTTGGTACGCAAAGAGTCATCCTAAGACCCATTGTCCTATACACCACAT